ACGTGGTATATTTCTGGCTATTCTGGTGGCTGAGATCATCTTCGACTACTACTGACGTCATCGGTAGATATCTTCGCTACTCATCAATGACCCGGGAAAAAGACAAATGGAAAAGCTTAATCTGTTCCTCAACTCTCAATTATCCTATATGTTCTTTTATAGCGTTCGTTCCACCCTATTAATTCAGAAATTGCCTCACGTAGATAATCGACGAAACTCTCTGCTTTCTCATGCATTAGAACTGTAAAGGCGCACTACAGGATACAGCACAGAGGCACACCCACACGTGCCATTCAAGCTTCTTCAGCGCCTGTGTTGAGCTACTTTGAGTGAAGATTTTCACTCAATGTTTATATGACGTCATAGGCCCTCATCTCAGCAACGACGGCAGCTACACCTACCAGACCCAGCTATTTCTGTTCCTACGTCGCCAATATCCTCCGATCCGCTCTTTCCCCAAATCCCAAAAACGGCCCAAATTCGTGAAATTGGCGATTGTAAAACAATATAATGTCCAACAGAAAAGCCATCTGTGTCACTTGGACGTCCATCAGGGCTATATTCAGCTACTTCCGGTCGGCAGATCGACTGACGTCATAGGTGAGCATTTCCATATCTCAGCAACTAGGGCAGCTACAGCCACAAGAATACTACCAGGTTGTTCCTGCACGTCCATTTAGTGGATACCTGCTCTTCTCTCATTTTCGAGGATCCCGTTTTTGTGGCCTAGATTCGGACTGTAACCTAACCTATGAGCTACATGAATTATGCAAAATCTTGAACCATCGAGGTATCGGGCATACGGTCCTCGCGAAGTGGCCATGCTAATGGTGTGACTGATGTTCGCATTCAACCAATTAGCGATACCTTTAAAAATGCGAGATTACTTGAAAAAGCAATCTTAAAAGATTAAGAGACCAGCGACGTTCATAATATATTTTCAAGTATGTAACAAATAGAATGAGTAGTGTTATTAAATATATAGATGACCACACTTTTAAAACTATGAGTACTGCAGCACAAGTCGACTGTATGGAAATTTCTTTTCCAATTTATACTTACATTTTTAAAAAAAAGAAAAATCTGATTTATGCAAAATTTCCATCAAAACGGTGATCAGAACTATATCTGCTAATGTGGTTATAACGATATATTAAACATAGTCAAAACCTAGAAAAAGCGGTTTGGTAATTGCAACCGAGCCAGAAGAAAAGGGTACTTGTTATACGCACTGACCAAATCTTTAGGGTGCCGTCCGCGTAATGTTCGGCACGGAAGAAGTGTGCGATTGGTAAGCAAATGGCTGAGAATATATATTATAGGCAATAAATAGCCTTCGTATTAGGTTTTTTATTGGAATTCAGATACTGAACCCGAACATACAGAGTCAATCAGGGAAGAAACACATAAGTGCCTCACTGATACACAAGAAAACAGTAGAGTTGGAGATTGCAATCGCAAAAAGGCGTGATGATGAGAAAGACAATAAGATAAGGGTGCATCCTAGTGGATCTCCAGTATATCAAAAGCAACATAATCTATCTCCACAGTAGGTTAGGTAAAAAAAAAAGCGACATATATACACGTTCACAGAATTATATCAAATGTATACCTTTATATAGCACACCACACACTTAACACCCCTTCCATATCTCAACAACTATGGGAGATATGCCTTTTATATCAACACAGGTTGTTTCTGTGCCCTCAATAAACACATTGTACTTTCGATGTCGTTTTGCCAGCGTCAAAGATTCCCATGTAAATCCCGAGTTCCAATGAATGTAAACCTATTCGTTTGCGCTCGTTAGGAAGAGAGTGACACACTTCCGGTTCATTTAGAAGACAATTTTAAGATGTTTCAATGAAGCTTTCACTTTTAGTAATGATCTTTTGACAGTATTTAGTCTTTCTTTGTGGAAACATATCCCTGTTGCTTTTTCACCTAGAAGTAGTCCCCCATGCTGCGAAGGCACAAGGCCTAATACCATCCTGCCTCTTAGACAATTGTGACTGAGAAGAGTTGCTGTGGTAAGGAGCTAACATAGAGTCCCAACTTCTCCAATTCTTGTTGACTAGCTTTACTGTAGGTTATGCTGATATTATCGGAGAAATGTGCAATACCAGGAATAAAGATACCAATAAAGTTATCATAGTAAGTTTGGAGCTCTTTACTATACTCGATGCTGAAGTATTGTTGTTCAGGGTATATCTTAATTCGGATATAAAGCTTCTCATCATCTATACTAGCTAGTTTCTCAAGTACTATTTTGAATGGAAAAGAATTTTGAAGATAATAGTTTAAATGTCTAGACTTCTTTAGATATGATTGACTTGTCAAAGGTGAATTTTCCAGGTCTAACATAAACTGGTGGTATAACTCCTCAAAGAAAGATATCGCTTTATAGAATGTCCTCATTTTTTAAAAAAAAAATTTCTGAGTAAATCACACATTTAAGACGTTCAAAAACTACACGCATAGTTCTGTCAGAATCCAGGTATTCTGAACATAGAGCGTCAATCAGTTTCTAGGTACGAACGTATAAATATTAATTAGGGGACAACAAGGGACAACCAAACAATAAAAATCTATAAATAAATAAACCTTACCAAGAAACAGATATAGCATATTTGATAAAACAAGTTCATTTTGGGAACCTTGGCCGTTTTTGAGGCTATCAGCCTTACTGCTGATAATTTTGAGGTGTTGGGCTTGATGACCGGAAGTTTTGGCGCTTCGAATTGCAGGGTGTTGTATAGCGTTCGCGCATTCTGGGTCACATTACTGAGTATGAAGTCCTAAGAGCGAAGCCAATTCTGGTATGATGAGCACATGTAGGCATCCCCTCATTGGCTGTTCCGTCAGCTAGTTCGTTACCATAGATGGCCGTATGTCCTGGGATCCAGTTCAATTGGACTATGGTTTTTTCTCTTCCTTCCATTCTTTTGATCCTTTCGATTTTGTCAAGCACTTGTTTTATCAAGTATTGTCCTGTCTTTGTCGTTTGTAACTGAACGATCGCCGACAAGACCGCTAGACTATCGCTATGGATGAAGACAGTATGTGGGGTCGGAATGTGTAGGGGTATGAACTCACGTTCTACTTGCATTAATGCTAGATAGACTCCTACTAACTCGGCTTCGTATATTGTAAACAGGCTGTCAATGCCTAGTCTGTAAGAATTTCTAACCCACTCTCTTTTGTGTGGTAGCTTAGCCACACAGGCTGCTGCTACTTGTCCCTCAGCCAATGACCCGTCTGTATAGAAGTGCCATGACGTGTGGTATTGTCTACATAATTCTGTGTGCTGTGCTTTTGCTTGGTCTTTATCCTCTGCTCGTGAAAAGCTTAGTGTTGCAGGTACCCAGGGTACGAAAAGATGGGCTACTATAGTTTCCATCTCCTTTAGACCCTCAAGCTTTGGTGTGTTGCGCACCGTTGCGTTCAAGGGAGAAGTGAACTTCTTCCTTGGCTTACGCAGATACTTGTTACGATGTTACGCGCGGGATGATCGCCAGATCTCGTGAGCGTGTTCTCACC